ATCACAAGAGTGAAGTGACAGCTGTGCTTGGCCTATGGCATACTGTGAGCCACATTTAGAAGGGACGTTTCTCCTGGGCTTGGCACCCAACCACATCCACTTTCTGTGCTCTTCTCTAACTCCTCAGAATCCTTTGTCTCCTCCAGGCTCTGATGTTGCCTTCCCCTCTTGTAGCACGCTGACCCCAGACTTTCTCACCAGAATGCCCGTGGCTCAGGATTTCCACACTCCTGCCCCTGTTCAGCGGTTCTCTAGGGCTAGGTGTCAGACAGCCCTCCGATTGAGCAAATTCCCTCCAAAGTGTGAATGCCGAGTCTCACTCATCAAAATCCTCCCAGGGATGCTCCCTGTGAGCTCTCAGGAATCTGTTGTGGCAGAACTTCAGGCACTGTGATAACAATGTACGGAGAAGCTTTTAAAAGTATTTGGATGTTTTTATTTAAAATTTTTTACGTTTTTATTGAGTTTTAGAGAAAGGGAGAGGGAGAGAGGGAGGGGTGGCTAGAGGAAGGGGGATGGGGGGGAGAGAGATCAATTTGTTGTTCCACTTATTTATGCATTTGTTGGTTGATTCTTGTATGTTCCCTGACCGGGGATTGAACCTGCAACCTGGAGGTATTGGGATGAGGCTCTAACCAACTGAGCTATCAGGCCAGGGCTTATATTACATTTTCAAATGATTAAATAGATAATATATTTCTGTGCTTTAAAATTCAAAAAGCTTAAAAGGTGTATAAAGAAAGGCCTCTCTCCCACCCTGTCCCCAGCCTCCTTGATTTCCTTCTCGTCTATAGGCACCTGAAGTGGGCCTCCTTCCAGAGGTCTTTGATGTGTAATCACATCAAAGTTTATTCACGCAGCAGTGAATACACCCTCTTCTACACCTTGCTTTCATAAGTTAACAAGAGATCTTTCTGTCTCAGTATATTAAAGATGCTTTTTCAAAGCTACATAGGATTATAAGAATATCATAATTCATTTAATCAGTCAGGGAAGACATTTTTGGAATGAAGTGGGAGGGCAACTTAATTCCACTCTGCATTCCCTGAACACCTGTGAGGGAGGAGGGAGAGAGAAGCTTGTTCCTCAGTCACACCTGGGAATAGCCTGAAGTGCTACATCTGCCCTGGGGTGGGATCAGGAGCTATCCTGCCTGCAGGCCTGATGCCCAGCAAATCCCTAAAGCACAGAAAGATTGTCTTTGGGTTTTCTGCTTCTGTACCATTCTTGCTCTTTTTTTTTTTTAAGTATACAGCCCAGCTGGTGTGGCTTAGTAGTTGAGCGTCTACCCATGAACCAGGAGGTTATGGTTCGATTCCTAGTCAGGACTCATGCCCAGGTTTTGGGCTCGATCCCCAGTAGAGGGCATGCAGGAGGCAGCCGATCAATGATTCTCTCTCATCATTGATGTTTCTACCTCTCTTTCCCTCTCCCTTCCTCTCTCTGAAATCAATAAAAAACATATTAAAAAAATTATACAGTCCCAAAGTATCATGTGGATCCACGGTCAGCTGTGGCCCTGGATCAGCATCCCCTGTGGACATGTTAGAGTGCAAATTCCCAGGCCCTGTCCCAGACCTGTGGAATCAGAAACCTGGGGGGCAGGGGCAAGCTGTCCAGGTAGCGTCGATGCACACTGAGGACAGAATCACTGATGTAGGTCTTTGAAGATGTATCCAATTAGCTTTGTTGCTTGTTGATAAACTCACGTACATGATTTGGTTCTGTAGTTTGTTGCCAGAGTGGTGTGGCCCTTTGCTCTTCCATATACTCAAGGATCCCCACCCCCAGAGTTGGGTAATCTCTACCCAGTCTTCACCCAGCACCTTGCACTTCCCTCTCTATCCTACAGCACCTACAGGGCTCTCTACATTGACTCCCCCTCACGGCTGCTCTGGGTCTTCCCATGTGTCTCTGTACCCACCCCACAAATTCTCCACGAACCTTGGAGGAAAGGGGACACAGATAGAAACCACACCAGGGACCCCTCTGAACTGTAGGGCTTTCTGATGGTCCTTTGTGGGATGGGTGAAAGGCAGCCGGGGTCTGGTGGGGTCTTTGGAGACTTGTCTTGGACCTGCTCCCTGTAATTTTTTCCATCTCCCCTTGCTAGGGCATACCATGGAAAAAGGTGGACTACTTTGATAATGGCATTATCTGTAACCTTATTGAGCATGTGAGTTATCCTTCTCTTATCTTCGGGACCTTCCCCTGGACATCCATTCCCCTCCCCTCACCCCACTTGGCAAGGGTGGTAAAAAGGGCAAAGGGTGAGTGGACAGAGGATCTGGACATCCTAGAGGACCAGGTCTAGGTTGGGCTGATATTGTTCTCCTGGCCAGAATCAGCGAGGTATCCTGGCCATGCTGGACGAGGAGTGCCTGCGGCCTGGGGTGGTCAGTGACTCCACTTTCCTAGCAAAGCTGAACCAGCTCTTCTCCAAGCATAGTCACTACGAGAGCAAAGTCACCCAGAACGCCCAGCGCCAGTATGACCACACCATGGGTCTCAGCTGCTTCCGCATCTGCCACTATGCGGGCAAGGTGATATGGCGGGGCTGGAGGGTCAAGGCTAGGGCCTGCGCACAGGCTGAAGGCAACAGGGAAGGAATTGGGAGGATCTGAAACTGGGAGGACCAAGTGCTGAGATGAGGTCATGGGCTCTCCAGACCAATAGATGTTCTTCTACAGGTGACATATAATGTGAATAGCTTCATTGACAAGAATAACGACCTACTCTTCCGGGACTTGTCCCAGGCCATGTGGAAGGCCAAGCACCCACTCCTTCGGTCCTTGTTCCCTGAGGGTGATCCTAAGCAGGCATCTCTCAAACGCCCCCCAACTGCTGGGGCCCAGTTTAAGAGTTCTGTGGCCATACTCATGAAGAACCTGTATTCCAAGAACCCCAACTACATCAGGTGACGTACTGGGCACCTAGGGAAACATGCTACATACATCCGCATGCTGCAGAGCACGTCGGGCTGGGAGGAGGTGTCTTTGGAATAAGAGTTTCAGAGGCCCTTTCCTCAGGGAAAACAGGGCCCGATGAGCTGTGAGAGCCCTGTAGCAGGGAGACCATTAGATTTGGGTGGGGACTGTACTAGTGAGTGAAACTGGCAAGGCCAGTGTGACCCCTTCCTCTGAAATATTTCACCTAAGGGGAATGAATGCAGAATTGGGGTGTAGAGACCAGGATGGGTCACACTGGCAAAGGTGAAGCTCCTGAAGCCTGGACTTTGCTCTACCTCCCACCAGGTGTATAAAGCCCAATGAGCATCAGCAGCGAGGTCAGTTCTCCCGGGAGCTGGTGGCAACCCAGGCTCGGTACCTGGGACTGCTAGAGAACGTGCGTGTGCGCCGGGCAGGCTATGCCTTCCGCCAGGGGTACAAGCCCTTCCTGGAAAGGTACCGATTGCTGAGCCGGAGCACGTGGCCTCGCTGGAATGGGGGAGACCGGTAAGACTCAGTGGGGAGTGGAGAAGGACAGTGCAGGGGCACACGGTGGGAGAAGAGACAATGAAGTCTTCTTGTTCAAGCCCTGAACTCTTCTCCCAGGGTGGAAGGGACTGGGGGGAAGGTGGAGAGGCCCCTCCCCTGGGTTGCCCCCTGGCAGCTTTTCCCTTTTGCTCTCGTAGGGAGGGGGTGGAGAAGATCCTGGGGGAGCTGAGCGCCTGCACCTCAGAGGAGGTGACCTTTGGGAAGACAAAGATCTTCATTAAAAGCCCCAAGACTGTGAGTTGGAGAGGGCACCTGTATTCGTGGGGGTGGCTGGGTGGGGAAGGGAGCTTCTATAACCTGGAATGGATAGTGGATGAGGAGGTCTCTCTGCGGGGCTGTTCCTTGGGTTCCCACCCTGACTGAGAGCCCTGGAGTCAGGCGTGCTTGCAGGGCCCCCTCTGAGTGCCTCCACTTGAGGCAGGACTCCTTGTGGGTCTGGGTAATGTGTCTGAGTTTCCAAATCCTAGCATAGTAGCAGCTATAGAGTTAGAGTTCAGTAGAAGCTTGTTAACATGAATTAATACATAAATGAATGAACTCAGAGGACCAAGGAATGATCAAATAAAACACTAGCTGGGAAGCCTCTGGTGCTGTGGGGTGCAGGAAGAGAGAGCGCTGTTCCCCTAGGCCAGCTTCTCGGTTCCCCCTTTCACCACTCCACAGCTTTTCTACCTGGAGGAGCAGAGACGCCTTAGGATCCAGCAGCTGGCCACACTCATACAGAAGATCTACCGAGGCTGGCGCTGCCGCACCCACTACCAGCAGATGCGCAAGAGTCAGATCCTCATTTCCTCTTGGTTTCGGGGCACCATGGTACCAGTAACCCCCAAAGTCCCATCCCCTCACTCTACTAGGAGAGTGGGAAATGGGAGAGGTGGTTCAGGAGGTGGGCCTTTTCTAACAGGCCCATTGTTTCCTACAGCAAAAGAAGCGCTATGGGAAGATGAAGGCGTCAGTATTGTTGATCCAGGCTTTTGTGAGAGGGTGGAAGGTAATGGAAAAGGGAAGAGGGTTCCCTCTCCACGTGTGGTTCCTTTTGAATTGTCCCAGTTGCTGGGGGGGATGGAGGAGCAGGAAGCAAGTCCTACTTGAACCTCGGCCATACCTCTGTGCGATGGCGTGTCTGTGTCTGGGTATTTCTGGGCCTGCTCCGTGTGTGTCTGGGAGTGTGGCTGCATGCTGGGAAGATTTGTACATATGTGTGGCTCTGCCTTCTGTTTGGAGTGTCCCCCTCATTGCCGACTTGTCTAACTACTCTCTCCAGCTGTAGTCTCAGGTCTCTATTTTACTCTGTTTGTGTGGTTGAAAGAGTAGAACCTCTTCTAGGTTTTGCTCTGTCTTCTAGGTCTAACTATCTTTATTCTGGCTCCTTTCTTGTATGTCCCTGCCAGGCCCGCAAGGATTATCGAAAATACTTCCGGTCAGGGGCTGCTCTCACCTTGTCAAGTTTCATCTACAAGAGCCTAGTAAGTGGTGGGTGTTGAGGGTGGGAGTGGGCGGTTTGAGGATGGAGGGACAGGTTTGAAAGAGAAAGATGTGAAGTTTGAGAAGAAGTGACTCAAAGTTTCCCCCCAAAGAGCTTCCTTAAGCTGCCTGTCTCAGGGCCCAGGGGCAGAGTCAGAGCACATTTGGGGTTGAGTGGACAGGGTAGGCAACCTTGTGATAGGAAGGGGTCCCAGCACACCCACGAAGAGACAGCTGTCTGGTTGACAGCAGGTGAGGAGCTGAGCCTCATTGAAGACAGAGTCAGGACACACAGGGTTAACGAATCTATTTTAGAGTTGCGGTGAAGGTGACAAAATTTTATTTTCCTTCTATCTCTTCTGAAACTATAGCAGTTGAGTCTGAAATTAAGCCTCAGGAAGGATCTTAATTCTGGAGGACTCAGGTCAGAGTGGGCAGGAAGAAGCCAGGACCAGGCCTGGACATTCAGACTATGGGCAGTTTCCAGCGAGAGGAAAACAGGGACAGAGAAGCGGGTAGAAAGCAGTGGTGCTGTTGAGACAAGTCAGAGGGAAACCAGACAGGGAGGGAGCAGCACTTCCCGGGAGACCTTGGGGAAGGCCAGAGGCAGGAGGAAGAGCAGAGGTCTGAGGCAGAGTGCTGCGGGAAATTGGAACTGCAGAAAGGCAGAACTTTCTAGATCTAGAAAAATCAAATCACTGATTTGATTTTTGGAGGAATAGGGGTTCTGAGGCTCTCCGTTGCCTCCCTGAACATTCGTCCTGTCCTCCTCCCCCTCTTCAGGGAAGCCCCATTTTCCTGGGCCTCCTCAGCCCCGTCTCTCCTCTGCTGGCTCCACCGTGTCTGCCTCCTTAGGGTTCCTGCTCTCTTACTGCATAACTGCATTCCTGAGACTTGTAATCTGGTTTTGCTCTTATCTCATGACTTGCCCCTCTTCCATCTTTCATTCTTTCTCTTCTTTTTTTCTCATTCTTTTATTATTTATTTCTTTTTTCTTCTTCCACCTCTCCTTTCACCTGTATATTATCAGGCGTCTGCTAAATATCACCTCAGGAGCTGCTGGGTTTAGATAAGGACTTCACTACTCAGATCCCTAAGAAGAATGCATGCAGAGCCACTAGGCATCGACTCCCCCAGTGTTTCTGACTGGTCTATATTTTGCAATTGCCTTGCCTATAACTAATACCAGCATAATACCTACTATTACTTGAACACTTAACTATGCACTAAGTTCTTTACATGCATTAACTCTAATGTGATCAACAACCCTGAGAAGTAGGCCATTTATAGGTTAAAAACTAAGGCCCAGAGAGGCTAAATAACTTGTTAGGAGTCCCACAGTTGGTAAAGGGTAGAGCTGGGATACAAACTATTTGACTCTAGAGTTTTAATCACTGCCGAAAACTGCCTGGCCCCTTCCCCCAGTAGAGGCCTGGGCGACCAGGCATACATGGCCCTGGGTAGACCTGGGGACAGAGGGCTACATAGGGAAAGGCAGAACTTTCTAGATCTAGAAAAAAAAGAAAACCCTCAGAGGCTCCACATCAATTGGAACATGGGGGATTGTGGGAGATGTTTAGGAATGTTTATTGAGGTGAATCGGACCAGACCCAGGACCAGAGACTCCAGACCCACTAGGTCTTTGTAGTGGAAGATACAAAGAGCTTGGATAATTCCTAGAGCAATATGCTGTGTGCTGTGCATTTTTCTATTTTAATTTTTTAAACCTAATGTCTTAGGTTTCAAAAAGTTTTCATAAAAATGCCAAAAAGTTGTCCCTGGCCTGCATGGCTCAGTGGTTAGAACGTCGGCCTGTGTACTGAAGGGTTGCAGGTTCAGTTCCAGTCAAGGGCATGTGCCTGGGTTGCTGGTTTGTTCCCCGGCCCTGGTCGGGTGCATGCAGGAGGCAACCAATCGATGTGTTTTTCGTATCGATGTTTCTTTCTCTCTCTCTCTCTCTCTCTCTCTCTCTCTCTCTCTCTCTCTCTCCCCTCTTCTCCCCCTCTCCCCCTCTCTCTAAAAAAATTGATGGAAAAAAAAATCCTCGAGTGAGGACTAACAACAACAACAAAATTTCAAAAATTTGAAGTGCTCAAGATCAAGTCATTTTCTATACATTCAATAATTCTATCCCATAAATGAAAAGGGTGTTGAGTGCTCCCTGAAATATAAAGACTCACGAGTTCTGGTTCTAGATTGGGGCAGATTAAACAGTCAGATGCCATGACTGGATCCTGAAACAGGAAAAATAAAAACAAAGCTGAAAAGGACATTTTAAAAAATATATATTTTTATTTATTTCAGAGAGGAAGGGAGAGGGAGAGAGATAGAAACATCAATGATGAGAGAGAATCATTGATCAGCTGCCTCCTGCACATCCCACACTGGGGATCAAGTCTGCAATTTGGACATATGCCCTGACTTGGAATCAAACCAGGATCTCCTGGTTCATAGGTCGACACTCAACCACTGAGCCAAGCCAGCCAGGCTGAAAAGGACATTTTTAGTATATAAGAGACATTAGGAGAAATTTGAGTGCATTGCTGTTGGATGAGTAAGTCTAATCAATGTTAAATTTCTTAGGTATAGTGATGGAATTGTGATTGTGTAAGTAAATGTCCCAGTTCTAGGGAGATGCATGCTTAAGTTTTAGGAGAAAATGTTATGATATCTGTAACCTACTTTAGGATGATGTGACATGAAGATTTGTATATATGTATATTTATATGCATGTGTATGTATGCGGGGGCATGTGTTAGAGAGAGAATGCCAATAGGCAAGATGTAAACATTATCAATTGGTGAATTTAGGTGAGGGGTATACAGTATACAGGTGTTCATTGTAATGTTTTCTTCAACTTTTTGCACATTTAAAAACTTTCAAAATAAGAAAATGTATTAAATTTTTAAAAAAATCTTAAGTCAGGCCCTAGCTGGTTTGGCTCAGTGGATAGAGTGTCAGCCTGCCGACTGAAGGGTCCCGGGTTTGATTCTGGTCAAGGGCACAGGCCCGGGTTGCTGCTGGCTCAATCCCTAGGAGGGGTCCTGCAGGAGGCAGCCAGTCGATGGTTCTCTCTCATCATTGATGTTTCTATCTCTCTCTCTCCCTTTTCCTTCCTCTCTGAAATCAATAAAAATATATTTAAAAAGCCCTAGCCAGATTGGCTCAATGGATAGAGTGTCGGCCTGGGGACTGAAGGGTCCCAGGTTCAATTTCCATCAAGGGCACATAGGCAGCCGGTCTATGATTCTCTCTCATCATTGCTGTTTCTATCTCTCTCTCCCTTCCTCTCTGAAATCAATAAAAATATATTTTAAAAAATATTAAGTCAGATTATGTCACTCTTCCCCTTTAAACCCTCTGGTGGTGTTCTATTTCACTCCAAATGAAGGCCTGTGTCCTCACCACAGCCAACAAGGCCCGTCAGGATCTGTCCTTGACCAACCATCTCTGATCTTCTCTCCTTTTACTGAATTTAATTCAGTCACACTGGCTTTCTTTCTGTTTCTGGAATATACTACCACTCATTTCTGTCTCGGGCCTGCTTTTTTTGCATCATGGCATATGTAATGAACTGGCATTACATTGTATGTGTTTATTTGCTGTGAGAGGCCTCCTTCCCCACCCCCAGTAGAGTGTAACCTCAGGGAAAATGAAGACTTTGCTGTGTTCACTGCTGAGTCTCCATTATCTAGAACAGTGCCAGGCACAGAGCAGACACTCAATAAATGTTGAATGGGGGGAAAAATCAAGACCTGGAGACTCACTCCCGAGGACGCACTGTCTAGAGAGATTTCCATGCAAGTAACAGTAGTACAAAAACAGAAGTATAGACAGAGTGCTAGGGGGCTCCAAAGAAAGGAGGGCTCCCCGGGCCAGGGGACCGGGAGGTTTGAACGGCATCTGAAAGGATGGGTAGAATCTGGGCTGGCAGTGTTGAGCTGAGAGCAGCATGAGCTCAGGCACAGAGCGGTAATGCGTGGGCTGGGCGAAGGGTGCGGCGAGGCGTCCTCTCTGGTTGGTGTGCCAGGGTCATGCAGGGGATCCTGTGACGAAGTGGGCTCTAAGAAAAATAACCCTGAATGCCAGGTTGAGGTGTTGCCTGTCCGGGGCCTGTCTTCTCATCATTGCACTCTCAATTCCCCTCTTCCAATCCAGGCACAGAAATTCCTACTGGGGCTGAAGAACAACTTGCCATCTACCAGTATCTTGGACAAAAAGTGGCCAGCAGCTCCTTATAAGTGCTTCACCACAGCCAATCAGGAGCTGCAGCGGCTCTACCACCAGTGGAAGGTGAGTGGGGCCCAGGCACCTCTCTTCTCATTTGTCTTTTTTATTTTCTCCCTCTGATTTTTCTCTTCTTCCCTCTTCCACTCCTTTTCTCTTAAAAATAAAAAAATTGTGGCCCAGCCAGTGTGGTTCAGTGGTTGAGCTTCGATCTATGCACCAGGAGGTTACAGTTTGATTCCCAGTCAGGGCACATGCCCGGATGGTGGGCTTGATCCCCAGCAAGTGGTGTGCAGGAAGCAGCCGATCCATGATTCTCTCTCATCATTGATGTTTCTATCTCCCTTTCCTCTCCTCTCTGAAATCAACAAAAATATATATTTTAGCCCTAACCGGTTTGGCTCAGTGGATAGAGCGTCAGCCTGTGGACTGAGGGGTCCCAGGTTCGATTCCGGTCAAGGGCATGTACCTTGATTGCGGGCACATCCCCAGTAGGGGCTGTGCAGGAGGCAGCTGGTTGATGTTTCTCTCTCATCGATGTTTCTAACTCTCTATCCCTCTCCCTTCCTCTCTGTAAAAAAATTAATAAAATATATTAAAAAATATATATATATATTTTTAAAAAATTGTGGTAGCCCTGGCTGGTGTGGCTCAGTTTGTTGAGCATCACCCCGTGCACTGAAAAGTCACTGGTTTGATCTTCGGTCAGGGCACATACTCAGGTTGCAGGCTCCATTCCCAGTCAGGGTGCATGTGGGAGGCAGCAGATTGATGTTTCTCTCTCACATCGATGTTTCTCTCTCTCTCTCCCTCTCCCTTTCCCTTCCTCTCTAAAATCAATAAAAACATATTTTTAAAAAATGTGGTAAAATATGCATAACAAAATTTACCGTTTTAATCATTTTGAAGTATACAGTTTGGTGGCATTTGAGCACATTCACATTGTTGTGCAGTCACCACCACCATCCATCTCCTTACTATGTTCATCATCCCAACTGAAACTCTGTACTGAGTTAGCAATAACTCCCTGTTTCCCCCTCCCCCAGCCTACTCTAGGAATTCGACTAGAGTCATACGATGCTTAATGGGAATACGTTCTGAGAAATGCATCATTAGGCGATTTTGTTGTGCAAACATCATAGAGTGCACTCACACAAACCTCAATGGAATAGCCTACTACATACCTAGGCTATACGGTATAGCCTATTGCTCCCAGGCTACAGTCCATACAGCATGTTACTGCACAAAACATGAGGTTAAATCAAGCACACGAGAAAATGATGCAATCAAGAGACGCAATGAACATGAGATATATGAGACTGCTGCTGTCGTAATGTGGCATACTGTTTATAGCAAACTTTTAAAAAATACATATTTTTATTTATTTCAGAGAGGAAGGGAGAGGGGGAGAGAGAGAGAAACATCAATGATGAGAGATAATCATGGATTGGCTGCCTCCTGCACACCCCCTACTGGGGATCACGCCTGCAACCCAGGCATGTGCCCTTGACTGGAATCAAACCTGGGACCCTTCAGTCGGCAGGCCGACGCTTTATCCACTGAGCCAAACCGGCTAGGGCTAGCAAACTTTTTAAATGTAAGTAGAGTGTTCTCTAAAATAGCAATAAAAAGTATAATATAGTAAATACATAAACCAGTAACATAGTCGTTTATTACCATTATCAAGTTTATGTACATAGTTGTATGTGCTATACTTTTATACAACTGACAGTGCAGTAGGTTTGTTCACACTACCATCACCACAAACACATGAGTAATACATGTGCTATGATGTTACCATGGCTACATTGTCACAAGGTGATAGGAATTTTTCAGCTCCATTATAATCTTGTAGAGGCCCGGTGTATGAAAATCCGTGCACTCGGAGGGGGTCCCTCAGCCTGGCCTGTGCCCTCTCACAGTCCAGGACCCTTCGAGGGATGTCCACCTGCTGGCTTAGGCCTACTCCCCGGGGGATCGGGCCTAAGCTGGCAGTTAGACATACCTCCGGCAGCTCAGGAGCCCTCAAGGGAGGTCTGACTGCGGCTCCCCCAGGGGGATCAGGCCTAAGCTGGCAGTCAGACATACCTCTGGCAGCTCAGGAGCCCTCAAGGGAGGTCTGACTGCGGCTCCCCCAGGGGGATCAGGCCTAAGCTGGCAGTCAGACATACCTCTGGCAGCTCAGGAGCCCTCAAGGGAGGTCTGACTGCGGCTCCCCTAGTGGAGCTCCCCCTGTGGGAGTGCACTGACCACCAGGGGGCAGCTCCTGCGTTGAGTGTCTGCCCCCTGGTGGTCAGTGTGTATCATAGCGACCGGTTGTTCTGCCATTAGGGTCAATTTGCATATTACCCTTTTATTGTATAAGATAGGACCACCATGGCACATGCAGTTTGTTATTGACTGAAATGTCACTATGTGGCATCCGACTGTATTTTAAGTACCTCATATAAGTGGAATCATACAATATTTGTCCTTTTGTGTCTGGCTTATTTCACTTAACACAGTGTTCTATTCAGGACATGCTTATTGAGCACCTTGTCAGGGACTGGGCCTGTGCTGGGCATACAGTCCTCAGTGGGTTTATATTTTATTATTTCCACCCCCTGCCCAGCATCCCTCAGTCCCCATTGTCCTCCCCAATGCCTCTGCCCTCTCTGAAGTGTCTAGTGCCTGTTCTTTTCCCTCTGTCCTCTTCTCCAGTGTCTGCCCCTCTCCTTCCACATCTCAGTGTCCCTCCCTCCCTTCCCAGCCCTGCCCCCTTCCTCCATGATCATAGCTTCTGCTCCAACCCACTCACAGTGCAAGAAGTTCCGGGACCAGCTGTCCCCAAAGCAGGTGGAGGTCCTGAGGGAGAAGCTCTGTGCCAGCGAGCTGTTCAAGGGCAAGAAGGCTGCATACCCCCCGAGGTGAGAGCCTTTCAGACCCTGCAGTCAGTTTCATCAAGTGCAGGTGGACAGAGCAATGGGTCTCAAACTCCAGGGTGCACCCACATCACCAGGCAAGCTTGATAACACCCACATGCCACCCCCCACCCACTCAGTTTCTGATTCTGCAGGTCTGGGTGGGGGCCTAAGAATTTGCCTTTCTGACAGGTTGCCAGGGGATACGGATGTTGGTCCTGGACCCTGCTCTGAGGATCCCTGAGATAGAGGATGTGGTGGTGGATGGGGGAAGGGGCTCTGGAGGTCTAAGATGGGAATGCAGTGCGGGGAGGTGCAGGGCCCGGGGGTCCGTGACAAGGGCTTTGTCTCCACTGCATACTTCTTGTGTGTCCTCAGTGTTCCCGTTCCCTTCCGTGGTGACTACATTGGGCTGCGAGGGAACCCCAAGCTGCAGAAGCTGACAGGCAGGGAGGAAGGGCCCGTTCTGATGGCAGAGACTGTGAGGAAGGTCAATCGTGGCAACGGCAAGGTGAAGGCCGCATCCTGATGCCTCCCCACAGCTGGAAGGGTGGGGGCCGACCCCATCTTCCTCACCCTTTCCTGTTCTGTCCCTAGACTTCCTCTCGAATTCTACTCCTGACCAAGGGGCATGTGATTCTCACAGACTCCAAGAAGTCCCAGGCCAAAACTGTCATTGGGCTGGAAAGTGTGGCCGGGGTGTCAGTCACCAGCTTCCAGGATGGGCTTTTTTGCTTGCATCTGAGTGAGGTATCAGCTGGGTGGGGGCAGGGCCTCATACCGGAGAAGGGAGTGGGTCTGACAGGGCTGGGGTGGGCTGGAGGTGGGGCCCCCACCTCTTCCTCTGGGCCATCGATGTCTCCTGAGGAGAAAAAGTGAATCCCTTCCCTGCTGTTTTTTCCTTCCTAAGATATCATCAGTGGGATCCAAGGGGGACTTCCTGTTGGTCAGCGAGCATGTGGTGGAACTGCTGACCAAAATGTACCGAGCTGTGCTGGACACCACGCAGAGGCAGCTTCCAATCACCGTGGCTGAGCAGTAAGGCCCTGAGCTGGGCTGAGGGGCAGATTGGCAGATGGCGAAGCTGTTGGTCATTGTGACCGGGAAAGTCATAGGGTCAGAGAGTGAAGCAGCTGTGTCAGGGCAGGGCTTGGAGGAGCTTCTTAGTCTCCCCACCCGAGTTCTCTGGAGTCTTGAGTTTTCTGACCTGGGCTCGGGGGAGGGGGTGTATTTGCCTCAAGAAGGGAAGGGGGAACCATCATAAAAATATGGGCCTAGAGGATGAGGGCGCTAGCTTTGCCTTTTGTCTCTCCCCCCTCCAGGTTCTCAGTGAAGTTCAAGGAGAGCAATGTGACTGTCAAGGTCACCCAGGGGCCGAGGGGTAATGGGAATGGCAAGCTCAGCTGCAAGAAGAAGGGGAGTCATGGCCTGGAAGTGACTGTATAGTGAGGAGGTGGCAGGTTCTCCCTCCTGGACCAGCACCAGCCCCACCCACCTTTGTGGGAGAAGCTCATCTTCAGCCCTCTGATCAGGGGTGGTGCTCGGAGCCTGAAGAACCCTTGAAGAGGACCTTTCTTCTCCCAGACCATCCCAGTCCTTTCTCTAAACTTCCTCCCACCCCCAGCCTCTCTGCCCACTAATAAAACAAGTGACTTCGCAAAGCGTGGGTGAGTTGCTGTTCCCATCTTCTCACTGGCGTGTACTGAGACCCCCCCGCCCTCCCCTTCCTCAAGCTCCTTGTAGCAGCTAATGCAGATAATAAGAATGGAAAAGAAGGGAATTGTCTCTGGGTCCTTGACCGGCTGAGCTCTGGGTGTCTGGGTGGGGAGGCTGGAGAGCCTGGGGGGGATGGGGCTGAGGTCCCAGGTGGCCAGTGGCCGATTCATTAAGAATGTCCCTGGTGGGAAGACGTGAGGATCCCTGTCTTGGCGAAAACTGGGATCCTTTGGAGATTCAGGCCCCAGAATGGAGGGCTCATATGAGCTGGGGAACGCAGGGCCCCCGTACCCAGGAGCTCCAGACCCTGCCATCCCCAAGCTCAGCGCTGGCTCATCACACCTGCCCCACCCTGGCACCCCCTTCCTCTCCAAACACCAGAAATGCCAGGCTGCTGCCAACAGTTGTCTTGCTAATCAGTGTCCGCAGCTGGGGCCTCAGCTGGTGGCATTTGACAGGGAGGCTCCCCCACCCCATTCCCCCGTCCTTCTGACTGACCCCTTTCCTCGTGTCTTCCTTTATTTCCCCCCGTGTCACCGTCATTGTTTCTCAGTTTCCAACTGTCTCACACCATCGCCTTGTCCCCGTTTCTGTGGGCTCTGACTAATACCAATACGTAATTTTTTGTAGAATGCTGTCCCTTCCTATGCATTTCCTCCTACTGTCTGGTCTCAGCCTCTCCCACCCCAGTGTCTGCCTTTAGGGAAGAAGCAGCTCCTGTATTTGCAGTAAAATTTAGATCTGTGCGCTGCGAGTACAAACGGCTGCCTTTGTTTCTGCCCCCGATGTCTCTCCTTCCTTCCACAGCCTCTACCTTTCCTGCCTCTTCCCTGCTCCACCACTGAGCTCACTGCCCCTTGAAGCCGGGGTCTCCCTCCTCCCCACTTCCTCCACCTGCAGGCAGCTCAGGGTCCCAGGCAATCATGCTTCGGGGGACCCGATTAACTTCTCTTCTTGCCTCCAGGTTAATCTTGCTCTTGGAGCACAAGCCACGTGTTCTGGCACCTCCTGCACTGAGCTGAGATAGGACCCAGGGTGAGGGGCTGTGTCCTGAGCGGGGGTATCTCTGGCCAGTCTTCTTCCACCCCCAGCACCTCCCTCCTTCACTGACTTCTCAGAATCAGACTGAGGAGATCCCCTGTGACTGAGGGGGTGGTGACCACAGCCTGACCGCCTCCGTTCTCGGCTCATCTCCTGCTCCCAGGGCCCAAATTGTCGCCACTTTTCCAGTGAAGTGTCTGGTCATTTTCAGAGGCAATTTCAGGAGAATATGCAGCTGCTGCTGTTTACCCTGCTTTTCCTGTCCCTGGGGCTGAAGGCGCTGTCAGCTCCCTGGGCTGGGGGTGGAGGGCGTGGGAGGGACCAGGATCCCTGCCCTCCCTCTGTCCCCCCCTCAATCAGGTGGAAGGGTGCTAGTTTGAGGGACAGAGGGGTTTCTCTCCTTTACTCTCCATCTCTTCCTCTCTTCTGCCTCGGCCTCTCTTCTTTTGTGGAGCCCAGGAGTGTGTTTTCCTCCTCGGAAGCCGATAGGGGCTCAGTTTCCCCACTGTGTTGGAGGCTCAAATTGGCCCTCGTGATGGGAGAACCTGGAGTTCTGCAGCCCTGAGCCCACCCATTCTGCCAGCCCAGCATTCTCAGTCTAATTTGTTTCAGCCTCTGAGGGGCACTAACTTTCCTGGAGTTCCCCAGGACTCCTTTTCCGCATCTCACAGCTCACACCAGCTCTCGAGCAGCCTCTGGCTCCACCACTTCTTCCCAGGCTCTGAGGGGCTCTGTGAGATCCTTGCTCTGTGGGGGGCCTCCCAGCTGACTCCTGGCTGCAGAGCTCCATTCTTCACTGGTGTCTCCAGCCAGTGTCACCTATGGCCTCGGCCCCTCCTCCCCGCCCGGAGCACCCCTCCAGGGTGTGGCACCCAGGTGTGCCTAAGCCCATGCTGAGCTGGCCTCCACCTCTACCCCCTGGGAACAGCGACTAACCTGCCTCATCTCTGCTCAACTGTTGACACCTTTTCCTGGCCTCACCCTCAATGCTGCCCAGCAGTGAAGGAGGGAACTGCAGAGGGAGGACCTGCTTGGGACCCTGCCCTCTAGGCCAGTAACAGCATCTGAGATGTGGCTCAAATAAAGAGTAGGTGGTCAAAGGAAAAAACACCTCAGTGCTCTGTAGCTGCCCCACCACTTCACATGCCATTTGCATGTGATTTGTGAGCAAAATGAAGCCTTGCCTGCCCCGAGCATCTGAAAGAGCGAAGAAACAAAATGGAGTCACCATAGCCAAGTTAACAAAATTACTTAAATCAGAATGGGCTGAAGCATGAGGAGTAGGTTTTGTTATATTTTGACTAGCCTGAGAACAAACATCTCAGTGGTGCATCCATGCCTGGAGATATAAAAGTCCCTATAGACAACCCTCTGAAGAGCTTAGGAAGTTCCCATGTCCAGACCACCTGATACCCCTTATCTAGACCAGGGGACACCTGGAGGGTTACCGTCTTGGGCCAATCCAGAGGCTAAGCATGCAGAACTGGTTCTTCTCAAGAATGTGCTTTTTACTGTAAGAACTCTCCACTTTTTTCCTCAGAACACTCTGGGTGTTAAACTGGAAGTGTTTTGTTTTGTTCCTCTCCAATTTGCCATCTTAAGACCCTTGAATAAAACGTTTCATCTAATTCTAGCAAAGCCTCCTGATACATTTTTGCTTGGTGGGCACCTCCAAAGACGCCCTCCTTCATCGCCTCTGACTTAGTTTAGCAGCAGCTCTTTCAAGTCCCTGCTAATCCCAGAGATCAAGGGGTGATCAGTCCTCCCTGCCATTCCCTTGCTGCCCCCACCCTTGGCTCCTGCCGAACTCCGGGAGACACCACATCATCAAAGAACATTATTCATGGTGAACCTTTGCTGAAGCCCAGCTTCCCTGGTGCCAGGGCTTGGGGGCAGGGTTGGATGGGTTGGTGAGGGAGGGCGGCTGATGCAGAGCTGGGACCCAGGAGGCTTCAATAGTCAGCCTTGACATTCTTCCTCCTGCATTTCCAATTCTCTCCAGCCCACCCTGCTTGGACCTCCTCCAGATTGGTGGGGGGAGCAGGTGGGAGATGGCTAGGTCCAATTAGAGCAGCCCCTGAGCTTCTCGGAGACATGAGCCAGTCATGCCATTTACATGACAACAGCCTCCCACGTCTCTCCCCCATCCCACCAAAGGCTCCCAAATAGTCCTGGCCCTGTCAGGTGGGTAATGGGGAGCTTTGGATGAGGCCCCATAAGCCTTTCACATCATAAAGGGGCCTTGAGACCCAGCTGTTGCCCTCACTCAGGGGTGAGCATGGGTGGGGCCCTGTGCAGCCAGAGGGACTTTTTTCAATATGACCCAAGTCCCAGGGTGGGTGGGGTGCTGGGAGTGGAGAGCTACGCATTTCAGGACACTAACTGCACTGCAGAGTCTCTATGGAGGATCCACATTGTGAATTGCAATGCAAGAAGCTGGGCTCAAGCTTTCTTTTTTGTTTTATAAAGAAATTTTTATTGAGCACCTATTATATGCCAAACATTATGGAGCTAGGGATCCAAAGCAAACAGAACAGACAAAAGTCCTTGCCCTTATGATGCTGACATCCTGGTGCAGGGTGGGGTAGGTATTTAGTATGTTGGATGTAGTCAGTGCATGAAGAAAAGAAACAGGTTGGGGATATGGAAATTGAAGTGGTAGTAATTTCAAATAGGGTGATTGGGGAAGGTGTGGGTGAGCAGGAGGCTTTGTAGTAAATACACAGCGGAGCTGTGGTTCTCTCCCCTGTGGGAAGCCATCCACTGCCGATACTCTCATGCGAGTGCACCAAGGAACTCGAGGCCGCTGGGCCTTGGACGATGGGCAGGGCTAGTACCGTGCACCATTGTTATGTTGAGATAGCGGTGGCTCAAAGCAATTTCCTGACCTGATAGCCTCCAAGTAATTGGACCTTGCTGATCGTCACTGATCTTTATTGACCTTAGAGACAGTCTGTCTGCTACCTGTTTGCCATGCTTTACTGAGGGCAAGATGTGTATCTAAAATGGAATAAAAAGCAGATAAGGCCAGGTTTCAGTGTGCCTCTCCAAGAGAGAGGCCTCTGTGAGAAGAAATAAGTCATCTTTTCTGTCAAAAAGCAGTTTAGACAGCTGCCATTTTGGCCTGTGTAACTTGGCAGCCGCTGTGTTGGCTGCATGGCTCGCAGCTCCCCTGGGGGCCGCCATCTAGGAACAGCAAAGGCCAACCCCTCTCTTTGAATCAGCCAATCGCGAAAGACTATGCACCTGAGCTCCAATCAAGAGCAAGGGACAGGTCACCTGCGTCAGGGATTATAAGCCCGAGCAGACCACCTGCTCGTCCAGACCATGTGTGCACACCCTTCTATGTAAAGAAGGGTGCCTTGCTGCCTGGCTCCCGAGTATGTTTTGTGTCCTACCAGGACCCCTGCATTTGGGGGTTTGCCTTATTTCTAACCATTTGTGGGTGCATCTGGGATACCATTTGTCGTCACAGGGAAATTGGACCCCTCTCCTGAGGAGGTGCGCCCCGCTGCCAAGTTGCGGCGGCCTGGGTGAGGATGGACAGCCATTACCCCTGGGCCGACTATGAGCTTGGGATCGAGAGTCAGCCAGCAACGCAGGTAGGGCCCAAGCAAGACACTCGGCAATCAAGTAACCTCATGCGTGAGCCAAGGTGGGAAATTGGACTGAGTACTAGTTTGATGATTGGGTATCTTCAGAGGTCAGGCATATGTGACTGGGATGTGTCTTGGACATAAAGCGAGTGCAGAGTTCTAATCTGTGGTTCTGTTCTCTTGCAAGGGAAACGGCCAGAGAGGGATGAAGCAGATTTCGGGGAGTACGAGAAACCTCCAACATGGGGTATTGAGTACATACTAGTCACAAAGGACCTGCCGAGGATGGGAACAGAAATTCTA